TACCCGTGAACATATTTGGTAAGCGGCGTTCGCCTTCGGTAACCGTTCAAGGCGCGCACGATTATGAGATACGATAGTATTTTTTTATTTCCGGTCGGCGGCCCGACGGGTAAAAAGCGCATACGCCGAACTCGATTATTGTTTTCACTCGAATCGTATAGCACCGGAGCAGCGTTACAAAACTATTTCAATGTATACAAAATATGTATAATAATATACTGACACATAATATAGTACAATGATTTAACACTATTTTTAATAATTTCATGTTTTAAGTAAAAATTTCTTAAAAAAACAATTATACGTAACTTAATATTTTGAATTATTCCCATGTAGATCAATTTAAAAATTTATTTGAAAAAAAAAAATCATACGAAAGGTAGAAAAAAATTTGGGTAGCCATTAAACAAAAAAAAAGTAAATTTTTGAAATAATGGTTCTTTTAATACTTAAAATAAGCAGTGAGAGAGGATTTTAAATAATGTTACATATAAGTGAATTAATTAATAATAATAATTACTAACGGCAAATTTTTATTGTGTGGCACGGTGGCTCACGGGCTTCCAGCTACCGGCGAGCCGCCCTTTTTGTCCGTTTTTTATGTGTTTGATATCCGGCACATAGATACGAATTTTTCGAAAGTTTATCGATAAAAAATATTTGATATTGTATTTATACAGTTCGTGGAGTACTAACGGCCATGAAAGATGTACTACGATTCAAAATAGTAGAATATAAAAGTTAATAATAAATACCACTCGTATGATGCCTCATACCTTTGTGCCGTTATTTTTTTTCGAAACGATGAAAAATTCAATAGTATCACAACAATAATATAAATCATTTTGTTATTTAAGATTTATTTTGGAAGAGATATTAAGTTCACAGATTTTTCTAAATAAAATTAATCCCCTCCAAAGAAAATTCCTAATAACTTCATCGATTGACTACGATTTATTCCACTTACATGCACTAAAATTACTGAAAAAAGTACGTGAACCAGAAAATGATATTGAAAGCAAAACGATTTTATCGTCTAAAATGAGCCTGTAGAATGTTCACGAGTGTGACTACCATAGATTTTTACTGAAAACCATTATAAACCAAATGTCTGTTTCAAGCCTTATCGACATTTTAAGTATAGTTTATATTGAATCCATTTTAATTTGTTGACTAAATTAATTTAATCGTCTCTAAATAAGATTTGTTTTTTTCGATTGTTTTTTGGGTTGACAGGTGAAGTGCTATTCTAGTTAAAACCGATAGTATACTAAAAGAGTTGACGATGAATGTTTTAATAAATCTCAAATATAGTCGTTAACATATTTTAAAATAGTGGTGAGGCCTTAAGTATACAAATTTGTCAACATGCTCAATAAGCGGAACGGATTGGTAAACACTTGACAATGAGTAATATTATCCTGGAGCCCGAGATTTTTAAGTCATAAACACAAATATGTCTAACACAGTTTCAAATTCATCAAACATAGACTTATATTATTGTTTTTTTTTAGCATTTACTGATTATTGGTATCATATATTTCAAAAACTAAGGAAATTCTTCATGTCGAGATATTTGGAAAATTTACTTTTGATACATTCGTTTTTCATACCCCGTACGTGAGTTAATATTAACTATCAATATTAAAATAAATATTAATTATTTTATACATTTAAAATTTGGTGTCATTCAATTGGCAAGCATTTATGTGCATCGTTCATTGGGAGTTTTATTCAAAGCGGGATAAAGAAGCGCAAGAATTAAATACCATTGTATAGCATAAAAACACATTATACGTATATTAAGTTTTTTTTTTAAAAATATTTCAAATACCGCAGTAGCATTTTAATTTTTTACACATAACACGATTAACGTGGCTATACTGGTGATAAATAATCGACGGTGTAGTAGTTCAGACTTTCCGTTGTTCATAGCGTCCATAGTTGATGATATCCAGTGCCTGTACCGGAAGAGAAACACGAACCTGCCTATGACGTGTTTGCTACCACATGGTTTGGTGATATATTCGTCAAAGAGAATATTACTACTCACACCGAATTGGTGTTCGCCGCAAATCAACGGACCACCGCTGTCCCCTGGACACACCGTATGTTTGTCGTTTTTCGAGCATAAGTATTCTTTTTGCTCTGCTTTTACAAGTTCACTACTGAACCTGTACGTAAAACAATGAAAATATATGAGTTCACGGAACAAGCGCTGGGGATTATTTACATATTTTACAATTGTAGAAATGTTAAAGATGCCCTTTTAAATTATTCACCACAACACCGAGGCAATCCGTAACACTCCTCACATTCTTTTTATCCCTTTCATTATCTCCGTCTCCCCAACTAAACATGATTTGTGCCATGATAATATCTTACAATGTACAATATTAACATTCCAATCTAACTTCCGAAAGTAAGTGGTTGTGACGAGACTAAGTTTGAATAAATAAACCACTAAAATTAACAAATTCGTAAAATCTAAAATCAAGTTTCGATATCGACGAAAACGGCAATCCATTAGTCATTGATTTCGTTCATTTTGAAATAAAATTTGAGTGCGTAATAATAATCGTATAGCCCTCGGTCACCGACTGTCGATATGGGTTGATAGGATCGAAAATAAATATTATGGTATAGAAACATTCACACGTTAGATTTTATATTTAAGGTGAGTTTAATAACTATTACAACTATTGATATACATTATTATTGTAACTACCCATCATCTTCCGTGATTAATGCGCATTTGTCGCTGCCGTATTGGATGGTGACATTTATTATTTGTCCGTTTTCCGATACTTTACCCGAAATTGTATCGCCGAACCCGATAGCGACGCATTTTCGTTCTGTGTCGTCGACGAAATCAGCAGGAAGGCCGGCAATTGACGCGAACCGTTTGATACTTAAAAATGAGCTCTTAATCTAAATGTAATAAATGCTTGTGTATAGTGCACATGCATAACGCGCATGAAGGATGAAGGACAAGAAATAATGCACGTACTTTTTTTGAGAGATAATATGTTAATAATGACACGAATGAAATCATTTCAAACAAAATAAACCACCTGCTAAATATGTTTTTGCTCAAAAGAAATATTGTAATTATTGTAAAATTTAAAACTCATGTTACATTTTGATGCATAAAGCTTATGCATCTGAATACAATTGCACAACTAACAAGGGTAAGGGGAGGAGTTGCAGTGTGAAATACTGGGGCTCTGAATATTTATCAGGCCTTTAAGAGGTCCTGATTCGATATCCTAACCTAACTTTATTTTAAAACAATAAATTAAATATTTAAATCTCAATATTTTGTATGAAAATAAGAAAATAATTCACGAAATACTCACCATTAAGTTAGTAAGTAACTATAAGTAATATTATATAGCTGTTTTGTACTTATTTTAAATCAAGGTATATTAAATATCAGAGGAGCACTGCCCCTTCTGATTTATTCTAGGGGGCAACTGCGTCTCCCTTGTTTTCGCCTGTGTACAGGGGTATTGAATCAATTATATAAATAGCTTAAGATGTAATATAGTCGGATAAATATGATGTCATGTAACAAAAACATAAGTTTATTTTTCATTGTTAGTTTTAAATACCCATCAAAATTAATGATACAGAATTTAAAAACTAATAATTTAAAATAATAGCAAAAAAAAAAACTTTAGAAATCAAAACAAGTGTTCAACAATTATTGCGGCTTTGACATACATAAGTAGGTAGTAAATAGTACACACTAACTGGGTTTCTGATTAAGTAAGCTACACAAATATACTAAAATAAAAATAGTCACATTAAAAGTGAAGAGATGAGTCCACTGTTGTAAAATATACTTTTGAAAAACTTCTAAGTAATTTTTTAAATACTTGTTTAAAACAGTACTTGAAATATCACTCAAATACTATTTATAGTAATATATTTGATTGTTCTATAATATTTAAAATATATATTTGTAATTTAATTCTTACAATACAAAGGAAAAAATCCGGTTTATTTCTGAAAACTGTATTTAGATCAAAAATTAGATTGGTGCATTTTTAGCAATGAGCGAAATAATTCCAGCATATAATTATTAAATATTATCAAACGGCGAACTTCAAAGGATATCCGTTATTTAAATCACTCCGCAAACATTAATCCAGTATCTATTGAACTCCACAAAAATCCAAGACATCATATCCTTTAAATAAAAATGTAAACACTAATCTTAAGCCCACTTATTATGCACATGCTCTTTCTGGGGCTCTACAACAACTGCCAACTGGTGAATTGGAGGATATAAAGATAATTCTCTTTGATTTTAAATCTATTATTACACCGTTAATAGCTTTATTATCGAAATCCTTTGAACAATTACGTTTATCTCTATTTATATGCGATCCTTAATTAGTAATATCTACAATAATTAAATCCATTATCTACCTTAATTATCTATATTTTACCTTTATAATACCAGCTATTGTAATAATTATTAATATTCGTTCTGTTCCCTATCAAATATTGTGATATTAAAATTTATCATTGTTTATAACTATAATTTATAAATAGTCATTTAATTTTGAACTATATTTATACATATAATTGTTGATCTATAGTAGTTTTTACAGAAAATTCTTAAATAAAAAAACCGTTCAAATATTTCCAAAATAAAAGTATTTGAAAATTTTTCCGTAAATACTCCATAGGAATGCAAATCACTTATCACTACATCAAACACAGATTACTGTGAACTCTTGAAACTGTTTGTTATTTATATTTAGATAGTTACCCATAAACATATTATTATTATTATTCTAAATGGAAAAAACAATACTACTATGGTTTGATATGGCTAGATTATATTAAAGATAATACATACATTAGATATATTTTTTCGATTACCATATTTATGAATAAACACCGTTTCAAATTAAATGGAACTATCATAATTATAGTATTGCAATTTATACTAAAATTATAGGATACTTTTTTGAGATAAACACTGGGGATTCCGTTTGGCCGACTTTCACCACCGGCTGAATAACAACAAAATAATTGGCGAGTAACAGTAGCGAATTAAACTTTTATCAATGGAAATTTCTCATCCCTAAACTTGTACTGTTCTCATTCGCAGTATGCATATCAAGAGTATTATCCATATTGTGTGTGTGTGTTGCAATTATATTAACCCGTGCAATAATGTACGATACATGCATCGGAAATATTGTACATGTTGTATATGTTATACATTCATTTTTCTTCGAATTAGAATTTCACCGAACGCATAATTTGAGTACAAATAGATGCATGTTTAATAACTCCACCGTTTAATGTATACACAGATATTTCAAATGAGTAAATGCAACATAAATTCGTAATGTGTTCAAATAACATGTTTTGTTTCGTATTGGGAGAAAATGAAATACTATTGTTTACTTTCAACAAACTGATATCAGCGTGATTTATGAATTTATTGTACGCTGGATGTTGATATATTTTCTGGACGCTTACGTAACGAACCGCTTCAGAAGCAGTTTTAGGAACTACGACCTGTAACGGTAACGCCAATGATGTTTGTTGCACAAAACCATCATAATTATTACGAATCGAGCTAATATCTAGTTGTTACTTACGGTAAGCTTGGATGCGGTCATGCCATAGGTGCAGTGAGCGGCGGTCAACACCGCTATTGGCGATAACAACGATCCCGAACATAGTGATGTATACTCCGATGAATCTTCTTCATCCTCTCCCAATAGCATTACCACGTACTCATACTTCTCGTGATCATAATCCTCGCCGTAAGCCACTCGCTCATATGGATTTTCGGATTGATCGTCGATCTGTGGAATTTCTACCGCCACCGCGATCGCAATCGATAAAATACACAGAAAATTCATTAGTTAATATATATATATGTATATTATATTTATCTTTTTAAAAACAAATCGAACCGGAATGGGTCTGAATACTAAAATATTTAAATACTACCAACCGTAGTCATGGTAGTCTTATTATCATTTCGACGAATAGACTGCGTGTTTCAAATATAACGAAAATAACAGGGCGTTGTGACGTGTCGGTGACATATGAAACTGTCTATAACACGACTGTAACGTGTAAGAAGTTTTTTTTTTAATTAAAATGTTTTTTTAAATTATTATATCTCAACAATAACATGCGTTTGAGTATTTACCAAGGTTGACAAATAAAGACAAAGACAGATATGTAAAGCTCACAGAATTATATTTTTAAACCAGACTGTAAGATGAAATTGATAATGTGTTTGATTATAGATATATTACCTGCTGAGAGAGCAGTAATGAGGGAAAAAGGTATACCAAGGGTGGAAAATTCCTCTTTAATTGACTTCTACTATGATAAAGAACAGGATCATCAAGTAATAGATGTTGGAATTCACAGTGAGCCCTCCTCCCCACAGTTTGATAGAGTGCCGAAGGAGCTGTTGTTAAGACCCAATTAAAATGAATGATTTGGTAGTTGGTTGTGATTGGTGCGTAATCTGGTGTTTTGAGTTATAACCGTTCGACTTAATGCTAGTTGAGTTAACGGTTGAAACCATGGGCATAATGGGACGTTTTCTGATACTGTTTTATAAGCAAAAGCATAGGACACTAGAAGATTATCCCATTCTAACTTCAATAGCTTCTGTGTAAATTTGCGGTAAATAGAGACCAGATACATGTAAGAACACCAGATGGGACCTGAATAAATTTGATTGGCGATGGATCTGGCTAAGAAATTAGCGTATTCGTTGCCACTGATGCCTATGTAATCAGGAGTCCATAGAAAGGAAATGATAAAAGACCTGTTTTTATAACTATCAGAGCTGCACGAACTCTTATTAATATGAAAGATCACTTTGAAGAAAGGGGTTGTTGGCAATAGATAAAAAACTAGCTTAGGGTCAGAGACGTGAGATAATTATCAATGGGGACTGATACAGATGAGGGCTTCTAATATAGCCCGACATTCAGCCGTGAAGGAAGAGACGAATGAGTATAAACTGGCAGTCGACTGTAGCTGTAATTTAAGAAAAAATAAAGCATTACTTACCCCCGAAGGTGATACCGAACCATATGTAGAGACCAACGTGCTTGAGTTAAAATTGTCCTCAATGAATTGCCCGAATAAGCCGTTGATTAGATGTGGCGGCATAAGTCGTAGCTAATTAGTAGTGTGGTCCAAAGGATTGGGATCCACAATCATAGTGGAAGTAAGATTTAAGGCCTCGAATGGTGTAACATATATGGGTAGTTTAGAAACCTTGTAATTATGTGTGAGAATGGTATCGAATGGCTAAATCAGAACTAAAAGTAGTGGAGTGAACCGAACCTGCGGACGAATTTCCATTTGTTGTACACTGAGATAAATAAATCGATTATCGGGGAATTAGATATGTACGAGCATTTCAAAATTAATTTTCCGGTTAATCATCGATATCTTATGGGTAGAGACGGGCAAGCGGCCTCCATGTTGAGAACTGAATGAGAGTTAATTTAAGCGCTTCGAGTGCGGTACGTAAACAACTGGCCTGTAAGGAAATTAGTCTTCTATGGTGAGTTGAGTCAGCGGAACCAAAGACGCAGCAGCCATACTCAATTTTAGATCTAATTATTGATTTGTATATTTGAAGTAAGGGGAAAGGATGAGAACTCTACCAATTGCCAGCTAAGGACCTTAGTAGATTAATCCATTTGGATACGTATGAGGTTATATGGTATAAGTGCTCTTTCCATCGCAAATTACTATTCAAAATAAGGTCCAAATATGTAGTTTCAGGAACTACGGGTAATTGAGCTCCCTCTAAAAAAAACTGTGGTGGGTTGAACCGTTTTTTCCTTGTGAATATCACTGCACTTGTGTTTGCATTTGTGAGTAGCAACTGAAAAGTGTAGCTTGGTCAGGTTGTTAGCCGTAATAGAAAAAGAGTGATTGAGAGGATCCGAGGTATGGTTTAAGTCTTTATGAGAGTGGAAAAAAACTATATCAACGACATACATAAGATATGGTATATTGCCTTAATCCAGGGTGACCGCGACTACTGATATGCATAAGTTGAAAAGTAGTGGACTGAAGCTATCTTAAGGTAAGTCAGTGTGAACGGTTCTACATGCTTGGGAGATGAAAGTTTGTTCTCGCTTCGAAAAAATAAGACATGTAATGTATGTTATGTATGTTATGTATGTTATGTAATTTAACAGAGAGGGAGGTATATTGTAGGAGAGGAGGATGATGAGTAAAGTCGGAACGTGGACTGTTTCATATGCGCTTCGAATATCAATAAAGGCTGCGGTTAAGAAACCAAAGTTGTTATAGGCATTATATATCGGACCTACCAAACAAGAGAGGCACTCCAGTGAGCCAAGTCATTTACGAAAACCAAATAATTAGTACGGTAGTATGGACAGGTGTTCAAACCACCAATCATGCCTCTATCGGATCATCAGTAATCCTAAACGGGATACGAGTGACGACCAAGGAAGAGAATAATAACCCGTCTGCTTTATTGAAGTTGAACCTGTTTTACCCTGGGAGCGTGGCTGGCAGGGAGAGTATTTGATAAAGATACTTTTATTGTGATAAGAAAGTGATCACTGCCACAGGGACAGTAGAGGACTTCCCGCACACTAGTTAGTAGGAGATTCGGGGAAGAAATAGAGATATCTACACTGGTGTCGGGGAAAGACTGGCATTTAAGACGAGTGGGGCCCCGTAGTTGAGTACGCATAACTGCAAATCTTCGATTGCTGATTGTATTAGGCAGCCTTGGTCATCATTCCTGTTGGAGCCCCAATAAGCGTGATAACCATTGAGATTACCATCGAAAATACTATAGTTAGACATGACATTAAACATTTCTTTTAATATAATTAAAGATGTATTGGCGTGCGGTGGAATATAGCATAACCAGATATCTAGTAGCTGATCATTGTTTGAGATGAGTTGTATACCAACTATATTAATCTTATGCTCAGCTAGAGATCTAGCTAAATTGGGATTAATTGATAATTCCCGAAACTTGATAGAGTTTTTAACGGCGATGGTGGCACCCTCATAGCCATCAAATATATCATCTCTAACTAATGTGTATCCAGGTATTTTAATAGACTTGTTGGGGAGAAGCCATGTCTCGGATAGGTGGGCCGCAGATGTAGTATTAGAAGCGAGTATATGTGTGATATCGATTAGACGTGTAGAGAAACTTCTGGTATTCTACTGAAGTATAATCAGAAAGGATTTGGAAAAATTACTGTTATTGGACATAATATATTGAAAAGTCTAGTAATCCGAGCCTAAGGTAGGAATAACTAGAATACTAACAAGGGAGGACTCAATTAGATTGGATACGATTTCGGGCGCTATGGGACCTTGGTTATTTGAGAATACCGTAACGACGAGGCTAAACAAATTCTTGATCACATCCGATATAAGGGGGCGGGTATAGGGTTCCCTAGGGTATCCTAGGAATCGCCGTTCCTTCGGGACTCACAGTAAGCAAGGAAGGTGCTCTTGGGAATTGAAGGTGTAAGAAGTTCGTCTGTCATAACCGCTTTTTCTTATTATTTCGTTATTTATTACATCTATTACACAAGATAACATCCTTATGATCATTAAAAAAAAATAAAAAATTAAAATATAACAGTAAAATAGACGAATATGATGATGATAACAGAATCTTTCGATGTAAGAACTACGATTTGATTTAATTGGTTATAATAGCAAATCGTGACGTAATAATCCTAGTATTTTTATAGTATAGTATAGTATAGTATTAGTTATAGAAAGAAGCTATGGATGCGGTTGGTTTTTCTGACATTCTATGTTATGTACCATAACTTAAGCTATTCGATAATTTCATCGTCAGTGTTCGAATGAACGGTAGCCAACAAATCACTAATATTTTCCTACTACAAATTAATTTCCCATCGGAAGTCATAACGGATGCATGTAATATATTCTAATCTCGTGAATCTTGAAAACAATAAATAATTATATTTTTTTTTTTTATTTTAATAGGTACATAGTGTTCGGATATACGGTGTGTTACGAAGTAGATAATAGTACGAATTGTTCGAACGCTCGAAAAAAAAAAAAAAAAAAACCCGAAAAATCGCTATTCTGTTTGAGGCGTATCAGATTGTTATATTATTCTTCTAAATCGAATACGTTTTGATGTTTACGTTATTTTTCTGTCGCCGTAGACATAATAGAAAAATTTCGAGGCCACGAATTCATCAATTATTTTAACATGATATTTTCCGTGTACAAATGTGTTTATCATATTTCCGCGTACACACACTCATATATTTTAGCGTGTCATGACTGACGGGTGTCCATGTCCACTCGGATTTCGAGTCGAGTCCCACTTTCTTTTTAATGGTCCCGATCGACTTCCGCCCCGGAACTGTTCGTTTTCTGAACAATAATAATTGGTCAGAAATCGGTTTGAAACAAACCGTTTTCTCGAGAACGAACCAAAACAGTTTCTGACGATGGTCGGAAACTTGCGGAAAGTTTTCCAAGTCCACTCGTTCTTTGGCGTGTACCCCTGAATGCAATTCGGTAGAATCTGAGTTCAATTATACTTTATTATACTTTATTTTTTTTTTTTCTATTATACGTTGGTCGTTCCTGAGTTCAATTATACTTAGGAACGACCAACGTATAATAGAATATTCTCAAGCCAACGCGTTGACGTTTCCTTCGACTTTTGTTTCGACCGTTTTAAACACAGTACAGCGATTACTGATTATAATATGGTCTGGTCCTGATTCTCGAGCATATCAACGAAGCATACAAGACATATAATTAAAGCTTAATATAAATATAGTTCTCGAAAAGATCATTAAGTGAATGAAAAAAAATCACTATTTTG